TTTTTTGCATCTGCATATAGCATTTTTTATATCTGCATATAAGAATATGTTAGATTTGTATAACTTTTATGTAGCTAGTCAATACTGAAAAAAAATTTTTTAGTTGATGATCATAGCATATTTAATACGCAAGAGTTTTTACGACCCTTAGCCAAAAATAGAAAATTTAATTCTAACTGCCAAACCACTTCATCTAATAACTATCCTTCATTTCCAGATAAATCAGCACTAGTTCCTGATTTTTCAATTTCAAACTCGGTTCAAACTCCAACATTAATCTCTAGTGAGTTACTTAATTTTATTCTGTTGAAGATTATTCTTTAAAATATATTAAGCAATGGCTTTTTGCTACAATTCCTTATTATACTGAAGATGTTTTTGATTATTAAAATATTTTTGTTTTATGGCTTGTTTTATAACATAAGACAGTTTAATCTTTTATTATCGTTAATCATAATCTTAAATTAGTTCTCGTAAATCATAATAAGTAAAATCAAATATTTTACATTATATAATACAAACTATTTCTCCATCTGCATTTACTGGTTAAGGAATGGTGTTATAATTTGCTCTGGATCTGTTGTTACGTTACCAGAAAGTTTTTATTATTTTTTAGCTAATGTTTCATGTGCACATCATTGTACGCATGTTGTTACGTGGTTTGAGAAATTATTTAAAGAAATACAACAAATGCGTGCAGAACAGACTGTGATAAATCATCATTTAGATCAACAATGTCAAAATGAGCATCAGCATGTAGATAGCAATTTTTTGAATTGTCTTCCACTTGAGAGTGAAGTTGATTTTGAACGATTCGGTATAGAGATAGATAGTGACAATGGAAAACGAACTTCTTTGGTAAGTAAACTTTTGTGATGTTTCTGTTAGGTATTCTATGGGTAAAATATTTAATTTGAGTTGTTTGAGCAAATTTGTCTAAGTTATTTATATAAATATATAAAATTGTTTTTTTAAAGTTTATGTAAACCAAAATGTACAGCATAAAATGGATATTTTCTAATTGTTGTTCCTGTTTAGATACGTTACTTGCGGAAGAGGTCAGACTCAAATGTCAACAAGACCATACTAAATATATTGAGAAGTTTATTAAAAGACAATGTTCTTAGTTGTTATTCTAGAGATGGGAAACGCGGAAAAAAAAGTTTTTCTTCAGCAAAGGGAAACTTTGTTTCCATAATTCAAGGTCAATATATTTAATATATATGAAAATTACAAGTATTACTATGTATAAATTATATATTATCTTATTTATAGTTATATATTACCCTAAATGAATCATTAAATGTATATATATATATAGATATATATATATATATATATATATATATATATATATATATATATATATATATATATATATATATATATATATATATATATATATATATATATATATATATATATATATATATATATATATATATATATATAGTTATGGCCATTGAAATCCGACCACCAGTATCATTTTACTTAAAACTAGTTTAATGTAGTAATAAACAATTGTATTATAGCAATAAAAGAATAACAGTAGCAATCAATGATTATAATGTAACATATCGTATATATTAAATGTTTATATTAATGTTTTTTACTCTCAGGTTTGTTGAATTTAATATTTAGTGGCACCACCATGTGCTTTTAAGACTGCATTAATGCGATCTGGCATTGAATCCACGAGAGCCTAACAATATTCTAGTGTTATTTCAGTAATCTAAGCTTGACGAATTTTGTGCGCTAGATCGTCCAGTGATGTAGGATTAGTTCTGGATACTGCTGACTTTAACTTGATTGATTGATTAACTGCTAACTTTAATGCGATCCTATCACGGATGTTCTTTAAAGACAGTCGCGGTTTGAGGGCTGGACGACGAGAACGTAGGCCTACATCTTTCAATAAATGTCTTCTTATTTTTCAAGTGCTGACTGTAACGTCATTAGGTAGATCTGCCCTGATTTGTGTGCTGGATATTGTTTGATCTCTTACAGCAGCCCTGTGTATCTTATTGTCTGTTTGTTTGCTAGTAATTCTAGCTTTACCAAAACGTTTTCTGGGCGCAGTGGATCCCGTGTCTTTGATTAGTTGTATAATATCATGAACAGTAGATTTTGGCATTCGCAATCTTGCTTATATCTGATGCTCACTTGCACCATCCTCCCATAAAAGTTTAATATTAGCACGAACACCTTCCTTCGTAGTCATAATTAAATTGTGACAGTTAAATGATAATCCATACCCTATAATGAGATATATAGCTTAATAAATTTTACAGTGCAATAAAATAAACACTAATGTGATTGTCTAAAAGCTAATTAACTAATCATTGATAACAGGGAAGAAAATAAATTGATTATTGGAGTGCATAGACTGTTTTTCTTGATATTCAGCAGTGGTCGGATTTCAATGGCCATAACTGTATATATATATACATATAATAATTTTTTGAGACCCTATTTAATGTCTTTTGAATGTGATTAGTCAAAAAATTTAATACATTTAATTTAGATGTTGTTTTGAAAGTTCATAAAGGTGTGTCGTTGGTCCAAATAAATTTCGGAACAATTAAAGAGACTCAATCAAAGAAATCGAAATTCTAAGTCTACAACAGCTGAAGAAACTACACCTGAAATTCCAGAGTTTGATTAAAAACCAATTATTTTATTAATTTTAAAATAAATTGTTAAAATATAAAGTCTTTTTTATTGTTGAGAAGACTTATAAGTTTGAAAGATCCTGCTTACACACTTTGGTTAGCACTATGACATGTTACTTGTTTAGGGATAGGCGAGGGCTTCAGTACATACACTGACTGATTTAGGGAGAACTCGCAAAGGAGTTAAAAACACTTTATTATTTTATTATTTATTTTATTTTTTTGAAGAAAGTCAGGTTTTGATTATTGATGAAAAAAAATTTTTGTTTTATGACATATAACAAAACAGTTAAATTTTTGTTCATTAAAATCGACAATTATCTTCATTTTATATTTAACATAATAAATATTTTAAATATAAAGTATAACATTTTATTCTTTCATTTACAGGTGGGTGAAGTTTTTGTTTTATTTTGAAACGAGAACATCATTTGCTCTGCAGCTGACGTTCTTGTTTTGACAAAAAATGTACTATTTTTTTGATAATGTTCCTTATTAACATCATTGTAACAGTTGTTTTTTGCACGGTTATTTAGGTTGCTTGCTTAATTTCATTAAATAATATATGTTATTATGGCTGCAAAATTATTTAGAAAAATACAGCAAATGCTGGAAGCTAGAATAGGAAGTTATAAATCAGCATCTTGATGGTAAAATGAAAATCAACAACTAGTAGCACTTTTTTGAATTGTCTTTACATTGGGGTAATGTTAATTTTGATTGGTATGGAGATAGATGCATACAATGGAAAACGAACTGCTGTTATGTGAGTTTTTATAAATTTTAGTCTTTCTGAGGGCCTAATTAAAAAAAACTTGCTTTGTTTGGAACAATTTTGGTTATATGGTATAAAAACTTAAAAAGTTAGTTTAATGACTAAACAGCTTTAAAAATAATCTTTTACTACAAATAATGAACAGACACTAAACAAAGTTATATACTTAATTGTAGGTAGTATGTTCAGCTGCACATAGTATGTTTTTGTAATTTTTCTTTATATCTAGATTTTTGGAAGAGGTTAAACAACAAGATGTAATTCGAGGTAAAAATATTTAGTATATGATATTTTTTATTTACTTAGGTATGTGTGTGTTTTTGACATATTTTTGCCACACAAAACATATTTTTTGTGGGGAAGTAATATATGTTTGGGAGGAGAACATTCTTGAGACACTGTAAAAGTATTTTAAATAGTATTGCTTATTTTTGTTGTTGGTACATTCAGATACTGTTTGGTATGTTTTTTAGAAACTATTTGTACGTTTAGATATTGTTTCTAATGTTCTTAAAGACGTGTTATTCGTTCAAGTAAACGATGCTGTTAAAGCAGGTTGTCTGAGCAGTTAAAGAAACTTAATCAAATGACTCAAAATTCTCTTCTTTAAGCAGCCGAAGCAACGATACTCGAAATGCCTGGAATGGATAATTAACCAAGTAATAAATAAACTTTGAAATAAATTTTATAAATAAAAAATGTCTTGTTTATGTATATTGTATTATAAATGGCTTATAAATTTAATTGCCGAAGTTACATAAATAATACTAAAAAAAATTCTATAAAGATAAGTATTTAAAACAACCTATCAGCGGCCAATAGTACCGTAAAAAATACGAAAAAAAAAAACGTATTAATACGTTCAATAGATACGTATTTAAAACACCCAATCAGCGGCCAAAAGTACCGTAAATAATACGAAAAAAAAAATACGAAAAAATACGTATTAATACGTTTAAAAGATACGTATTTAAAACGCCCAAACAGCGGCCAAAAGTACCGTAAATAATACAAAAAAATACGTATTAAATACGTATAATTTTATTTGGGCGGTCACTTACTACTTGGGTCAAGTTCTGAGAATTATATCCCCTTTTAACAGCAAGAGGTGCTTCATTAAAGATTTAAGGAAAGTTATACAGCATATACATCCAGAGTGTTATGATGTATGGCAGTGAAACATTCAAGCAATCAAGGTCAATGATGTCCAGCAATTGGAAAGGATAGATGGATGTGCAGTGTAACTCTAAAAGACAAGAAAAGCAGTGATGATTCAAGAAAAAGATTAGGCATAGTGAGTGTATCTGATAGGGTGTATCAGGAAAGATTGAGGTGGTTTGAGCATGTAGAGCGTAAGGATGCAGACGACTGGTTATCAGCATGGAAAAAAGCAGAAATAAAAACAATTTACAATTTTATTTTTTTGAGTTATATTGCTATGTTATATGCTGCATGTATATTAATTTGAATATCATTTCTTAATTTAAAATTTAGCTTGCAGAAATTTCAAATTTGGGGTAAATTTGATGATTTAGGCTAAATAATGAATAATATTAACTGATATTTATTTTGACAGGAGCAAAATATCCTATAAAAGAGTTTAGTAACCATACATAAAAGTATTTAAAAAAGCAAGATTAGCCTTTCTTCTTTCCAAAAAGTATCTATGTGTATATATGTTTCTATAAAGAAACTCTAAAAAACTACGTCTGCTTTACGCTGCCTAAAAAAGAGTTAAAAAAACGAGAACCAAAATTTTAGAATTAAAATCGGTTTCGAAAATCGCGATTTCCGCGTACCTAGATATTCATTGGTTGACGCCTGCTCCTCCTCGCTACTTTCTTCATCATCTGAGCTAACGTCTTCTTTCTCATAAGTGCATGCAATTTCTTCTTGATTGTCAGATGAAATATTTCCATTTGATTCGATATCGCTTTCATTATAATTATTGTAATATATAAGATCTTCATCTACATCTGCTGTGCTATCTAATAAGTTATGTGATGGTTTAGTCCACAATTTGATTCCATGGTTCAAAACAAGATTTAAATTATGACAAATGCATGAAAGTCGTAAAGCAACAGATCCCATCGCCTTTTTAATATCTTCAGCGTTGTCAGTTGTAATTGAAATAATTTTAGATTCAATTTTAAGTTTATTAATTTCTTTTTGTACAAATGTTGTAAGTCTATTACTTAATTGCCTTCCATAAAACCTACGAAAACAAACTATTTTTGATTTGTATTTAAATTTTTTTGTTAAGTAATGCGCTGTTATGCAAAGCCAATACAATCCAACTCGATTTTTCCACAAATCTGTTGCTAGTGCTATGTAGACAACTAATTTAAGCTTAGCTTTAAGATCGTTCTTGTATTGATAATACCGTTTTCTTAATTGATTAGCTATTGTCTTTCGATGAGGCGGCTTGTAATGCGGAGCAAGAATGTTTAGAAGGAGTTGCATACCAGGTTTATGAAAATCGTTGAAAGGGCGGCTATCTTGAATAATACAATTTATTATGGCTTCATCTATTTCATCTCTGTTCTGCGTTTCGAGGAATTGATCTTGAGCAGTTTGTTTTTTTTGAGAATCGTAAAGATACTCCGGTTTTTTATGAATATGAAATATATATTTTCGCAGATTTGGCTCAGGCCCACATATAAGTTTTCCATTTTCTGGACACATCAAACAAATATATTTATTAGCTTTGGAAACAAATGAAAAAAGTGACTTAATGGACAATGGCTTCATTTTACAAACTGATTTTATAATTTGATCATCGTCAGTATCAGAGTTCGAAACTATAATATAAAAATAAATTCGTTAAAATATATATCACGTATCAACGAAAATTAAAGACCGATTTAATGACTGTACTAGAGTATTTTTATCGGTTATAATTTTATAATATTATTATTATTACGCTCTATTTTCATTAGCTAGACTTTTTCATATCTCATTATACAAAATATGTTTACGAATATACCTGAATATGTATTACTGCCGCCAGATTGACCTCTAGATTCTACAGTTTCTATGTTTCTTTGAGATAAAAAAAAACGTTTTTGACGATGTATGTTGATAAACGCTTGCGTTCCAAATAAAGATCTTTTAGATAATCTTCTGTCTTTATCTCTTTTTCCAGCCATATCTGTCAAAATAAAAATTAAGCAGTACTAGTGCTTTGATCTCGTTTATATTACTTATACAATTTCAATAATGAAATGAAAAGAGAAAAAATAAATAAAATTTTTGTGCTTTTTTAACAGTTCTGCTAGCAAAAAAAAAAGAATAACTCAATGCTGCTCTTTTTTTCTTTTTTTTTTTTTGGTATCCTGTTTTATTTTTTTGTAACTAATAATGTAAATTATTGCTGGAAAAAGATTCATAATATTATACTTTTACTTTAAGTTATTAAGAGCATTGTTGTGTATTCCGCTGAGATATTCTTGTATCTGTACAGGAAGGGTATTTTATATTTATGCTTTTAATTTAATAATATGTCAGAACATAATTTCTGTTTCTGAGAAAATTCAATTTCTTTCCAAAATCAATATAGTTTAACACTTTAGATAAAGCCAAAATACTTTTTATGATTGTATCTAAATACTTGTATATATAACTTATCGTAATGCTCGTATTAATTTATTTTTTATTTTAAAATAACTATTTTTGTCATGTTTCTGTTCTGCGTTATATTTCAGTGAACGTAATAAAGGTGTTCACTACCGTAATAAAACTAGTGTAATAAAAAAGCAATTAAATGTACCGTCCATTCCGTATTAACAGCAGGGCTCACCCAGCACCAGGTGCGCAATTTTATTATCGGGCTTCTTATGATCGGTTGCCCTAAAGCATAAGGGGCCGCACAATAAAATCGAGGATATTTTTGTTTTATTATTTTTTTAGTCGGTTACCCAGTGCACAGCGGACCAGTAGGTGGACAAAATGGGAAAAACTTTAGTTGCCTTGTCTTAATGTTGAAAACTTATTTAATTTTAGTATATTAGGAGAAATTTATTGATAATTTATTTATATTAAATTCCTTAGTTACCATGACTCTAAGCATTTTAATATTAAAATTTAAAAAAAATTATAAATAAGTAATTTACGGTGACATCATCACTGTGTTATATTTCAATTACATCTACGTTTTTAAAACGAATAATTAGTACATGTTATTCTAGAATATTTAAAGATTAGGAAAACCATTGTGTGAAATAAATATGTCATAGCATGTTATTTCAGTTATACTTTGAAAATCACAAATTAAAAAAAAAAAACACTAAGAAATTTATTTTTTGCCGCACTATAACTAATAATTACCATGTGCTGCCTTATTTTTGTTTAAGCTATATGATGCTTTAATCAAGTTTGAGTTGATTATCCCCTTAAATTCATCCCCTTAAATTCCCGTTCAGATATCGCATGTTTTAAATTGGTTGCTATGGTACTAAATTTTGCATAGCAACTACTCATTTTTACATTAACATTGTTTTAACAGTATTTTATTTGCGCTAAGTTCACAATATTGGGGGTATGTAGTAAAATGAGATTCAGAATTCTGAGGTTAATTTTTTTTTGGTTGCTATGGCTACCTTAATTTGTATAGCATATAAACAACATATTTTTGGTAGTTGTTAGTAACTTAATAACTAACACTAACTGTAATTTAATTACTTTTAATTTTAATTACTAATACTTGCAGTAACTTAATTACTAACAAGAATTAGTAGTCCACGTGGCATATATATTGTAGCATTAGCCAAAATTTGCAAAATATAAATACGTTGGTTTTAGACTTGCTGTTCAACGATTTGTTTACTTGTATAAAAAAAGTAGAAATCTGCAAACTATACTGTTAAAAATTTTTTTTTCTTCTAAACTATATCAACCTGGTACTCAAAAGAAGCAGAATAATATGCTGGTTTTGAAAATATTGTTTGTTTTAATTAAAAAAATAAAAAAATAGAGCTGTTTTTTTTTCATAAAAACGTACCCGTCAAGAATTTATAATCCAAAGAGGAACCTCAAGATCTAATCAAAATCAAAAAATATTTTTTTACTTTCATCTTATAAATAATAGGCATCGATTCGTGTCTCAGGAATATTGATTTTTTTGCTATGAAAATTGCTCCCCCTTTATATAGAGCTGTGACATATACTTTAATTATCAATAATTTGTTACTTTATTTTAAAGCGTTTATCAATAAATTGTTCCTTTATTTTAAAGCGTTTCGCTAATATAAAAACATTAGTTAAAAGTTTTAACGTAACTTTCACTTAAGGTATAATTCAGATTAATTTTCATTCACCGCGTTATTAAAATGTTAGTGAGTAAAATACCCAGCAAACAATAGGCGTCTTTTAGACCGTCTAATTAGTATCTATTGCCGATACGTATATTTTAGAGGTATATTAGAGATCGAAAAGACGTCTGATTCTAGAGATACTATTTTTGCTCTGTTTTAGATGCATATTAGATGCATAAAATAGATCGTGCATAGATAATTTTTTTTTCATCTAAACTTAGATGTCTATAAGATGTCTTTTATAGATTTGTTATAAAAACAAGAAAAAAATTTTAACTAATTTTACGGAGCGATAATTATAAATGACCGCCATTTAAAAACCCTTCGGAAACTTATTTCGAAAAAAGCATGAAGATTTTAACCTAAGGAAGACATCAATGATTATTTCTTTTGATAAATTTTAAATAATAAAATAACATGCTATTATAGTTCACAAAATATTTCGATGATTTGATGCTTAGAATGTTTGCTAAAATCCTTGTGATTTAAAATTTATTTTGCAGAAATATTACAAAAGTGTTGTTCAATAACACAAAAGATTGTTTTATTGGTTGTGCACTTATCGTTTTTATCGATGAACCAAAATTCATTTATGTCTTTTACAAAAAGGGCATATGAAAAGAGACGCAGTAGACGTGTCCAAAAAGAATATTAAAAAATACTAGAATTTTCATCAGTACATATAGAAAAAAAATCGAATGTTGGAACTTCTAAAAGAAATGATTTCTTATCTTGCGAAAATCTAAAAGAATATTTTGACCATCATGAGTCATTGATTTTGTACAATGAATACTCTTATAACCAAAAGCCTAATGAGTATAAGCATAACCCAACTTTAAAGGAAAGTTTTTCTGCATGTTTTTCTAACCAAGTAATTATGCACTAACAAGTGGATTGACAAATAACAATAGCAACAAATTTATTGTAATAACAGAATAGCAACAAATTTATTGTCCAAAAAAAAAACTATAATCATGCACTGAAAAACAACCTTTCGTCAACGAAAGAATGGCACAAATTTCCATTGATAAAGTAAAAGATAACAGATAGTCAGTATCTAACTTATTTTGTGTTTTTTTTAAAGGTAACTTAATTACTTTTTTGTAGCAAAATATTTTATAATTAGATTCATTTTCATGTTGTAAAGAATACAACTTTCTACATCAGATGAGATATATGTTAAAGAAAGCATTAAAAATAAGAATAGCAAATCATACTGCTCTTCATTGCCAGAACCTCCGCCACCTATTATGAATAAGCCCAATGATAAAAGTATAACCCAAATATCATATTTTTTTCTTAATGGTTTATAAACTGAAATAGATTCTTGTTTAATTTGATCTGAATAATATCTATCTAGCTTTTAATCTTTTTTATGTATTACTAAGATTTTCCTTTTATTTTAACTATTTGGGTGTCCTATTATATGTAATTTTGTTAAATTGGTTACATATATTTATATGATTGACAACATTCTATTGTATTAAATAATCCGTTAATCAACTTGATATGAAAATTGATTGAAAGCATGCTGAAATTGTTTAAATTCACAAATTGAAAGTACAAAATTGGTTGAAAAATTAAATTAAGTAACAGGTATGGTTGAGGGATTATTTATAGTTCTAATTATAATTATTTCTTTTGAATAGAGTTGTTATCAGATTCAAAGATTGAAGAAGATAATTTTTCTTCACATTTTATTGATGAACAGAATAAAATTAAGCAAAATTCACATTGTCAAAGAGTTTAAAGTTTTAATATGAGTATTTTTGGTTTTTACACCACTGAATGTTAATGTGGAGGTCTTTTTTATTAATTTGTTTTTGTTTTAAAATAATTGTAAAAGATAGGTATAAAAGAATAGAAATGGATTATTTATAATATTGTGATCCGATAAATCATGTGTGTAGCATTTTACCTTTAGTAGTTAAACAAGATTCTTTAATATCGTAATTTTTTACAAGATAAAGTATTAGCTAATTTAAAAAGTAGGTTTTCCAAAATATTATGGCAACTGCGATAGAGTAATTAAAAAACTTACATGTATTTTTGGAATTTTAGTTTGAGTTACTCAAGCATAATTTGAATTTTAAAGTTCTTATTTCATTGTTTTGCTGTTTGGTTTTATGAGCTAAATATGTTAATCAATCTTTTTATTTTTGTTTGTAGAGATGCAAAATGTTATTCTCAACGAGCTTGCAGAAATAAAAGTTCTTTTAAAAGAAGTTATAGAAATTAAGTTTCAGGCTACTGGGGTGAAGTTGCTAGAATCAGTGGACGAAGTGGTTACACTGTATAATAAACTAAAATATAAAACCGAGTATACTAATTTGGTAATACCTAATTATCTTAATTTTTAATAAGTTTGTTTAAATTTGGTTTACTAGTTTAGAATCTAAATGAAAAGTATTTGTAAATGAACTAAAATAACTAGCTTGTGTTAGACTCAATATCTTGTAAAGAAATTTAAGTTACACTAGTTTTTATTACATTTATTTCAGCTTGATAGTTAGAAAAAGATTGGTGGTGGAAAGCCAAGAGAACATGTTTTTTTGATCATGAAAAGGTAAATGATTATGTTTTTATTAATTATTAGAAATATGATTAAAAGGGACCAAAGCAATTCATTTCAACCGTTATTTGTTATGGATTTACTTTTAACATGACAATTTGATAAACTCTGGAGCTTCACTGTAGGTGTTTAAATTTGTTTGTGTGCTAAAGTAAGTGTAATGCTAAACCTTGTTTAGCATTTTATTTTCAAATTTAATGCTTTTACCTTTCATAATTTTAAGCATTCATATATTGAAATATATTTTAATTTATTACCTATATTAAA